TTTGAGCACGCTTAACCTTGCATAGCGTAGAGACGTTTCCCGTTTGTGCCTGTTTCACAACATCTACTACCACAATCGTATTTTGCGTAGCAAGCTAGTCACATCTCCTCCTTACATATCACCACGTCTCGATCACCAACACAAGATGGGCGTATCTTCGTGAAAGACTAATAATTTTCACAGTTCATTTATACCCCAAACCACAGTGTCGCAGAACCACCTCGCAGCGTGTCGAGAAATAAATATTGCGTGAAAAAAAAAATTAGCGCAATATTGACGGCGAGAGATTAATTTGAAGTTCTTAGCGCGAAGTCCATGACGTCACGGGTCATTCCGGAATGACCATCTCGGTCGTGAAGGCGAAGCCGATTCACCTCTCCTCCACATGCCCGAAATGCCGAGAAAAAAAAAACAAGTGGAAAGGAGGCGACTGCCGACTAAATCGTGTCTCGCGCAGTCAATATTGCTCTAAATTGTTTTCTTTTTCTTTTTTCGCGTAATATTAATTTTTTTACACGCGTGTCCTAACCAGACTGTTTAATTCTTTTTTTTTTTCTTTTCCGGGGCCCTTTAACAATGTTCCCAATTCAGCATTTCACTAATATGTACAGTGGCCCAATTTTGTAATAAGATCAAGCGAGCGTCGACCGCCGGGACGGTCAGCGCCGTGCCGCGGAAACATGCGGCATCACGGGAGAGATTAAGCGCGTGCGCACAAAGCTCTTTCTGTTGTTCTGTTGCGAGCGTCGTCTGCTAGGCTATTCCGTGGACCGCACACAGCCCCTGTTCATTATCTGCTGGTATAGCTAACCGCCTTTAAGCAAAGATCTTAACAGCGCTTGCTTGCGTGATACTGCTCAGGCGTGGCATAAACCGCGCGTCATCTCGAGTTTAATTTACTTTTTTTTTTGTTCATTTTATGTTTGCCTTTGCTTTTGTGAACACCAACAAAAATGAAAAATACGGTGACGCGACAAAGTGAATGCAGCGATGCATTAAACTATATACCGCAGACAATGCTACGAGGCATCAAAACCAACCCAGTGCTTTCACCCTGCCACGTGACATCGTGCTTCCCCGTGCAGTTGTACCCAAACGGGAGGGCCACGTGACACACTTTTAGCGATGGACTGGCCATGATAACTCGTAGCGTCGGCTGCGGTACAAAACAAAGTGAAATTGAGTATAGACAGGGTTTTCGCTTGGGGGGCTTGGTGTTTTGTGTTATAAACTGCGTTGTTGTTGTCGTCATCTAGCCTCTGTAACCGGGTAGTCCCACTTTTCTTTGACCAGCGGGCGCGCGCCCATTTTTATGCCTCCTCGAGGGCCCATACAAATACGGGAATGTGTTGTGAGAATGTCGATGGGCGGCATGTCACAAAGGGATATAGATACAGCAGTCGGGGTTACACAGGCTAACGTCAATAGGATTTTGAACGCATTTCAAGAGGAGGGGCGTATCGGCGATGCACTTCGACACTGCAAGCGCCCTGCCCTCCTTTGCTACGGAGCTGGGGCTGTGTGTGGTCAACGGAATAGCCTAGAAGACGAGGCTCCCACCACAAAGGGCTTTGTGCGCACGCGCTTAATCTCTCCCGTGACGCCGCATTTCTCCGCGGCACAGCGCTGGCAGTTCCGGCGGTCGATGCTCGCTCGATCTTATTAAAAAATTGGGCCACTGTACATACTGCGTAGCACTCATAAGTTATTTATTGCGTGTTGTTCAATTCCAGTTATGTGACCCGCTCCCCTCTCTGATGCCCTCGGGCCTTGAGGGAACTTTAAGATAAATAAATAAATATATCGTTCATCCGGCACGCGCTTCACTCAGCTGCTTTCCCGCACTTCAGCGGAGTACGACGGAAAAGACAATCCTCTCGGGCTCGGCATCGCGCACCGCACGTGCGAAATATAATTTTCTTGGAACTCCTCCCCTTCTTTCCCTTTTTATTTTGTCATGCTTAGTTTGGTTGAAAAAAAAAAAAAACTGAATTTTGGACAACACGAACAGACGGGCTATTTTTTTATATTTTGTCCGGGGAGTTCCAAAGGCTCGAACTTAAAGCGTTAAAACCATAGAGTTATTATCATGTACGATAGAGGTTCAACTGGCGCCAGTGTGCTCTGGCAAAGTGAAGAAGACAGCAAGCAGTCGAAAATTGACTTCCGGTAATGCATTTACATGGGAAAAAGCGAGTGCATTTTCTTCCTGCGCTTGAATATAACAGCAAACATCACGAATAATTCGTACGCACTCTAAAAAAAGCCCGTGCGTCTACTTTCCCGCACAACACTCGAAGAGCCAATCACCGCAACTTACGGAGGCAGCTCAGCAAATGACGAGGCCGAAATATATGTTTAGACGAAAAAAACGCAGTCTGAGTTGTGACATTAAGCAATGCAAAAGGTCAGGCTTGTATTGCTTAATGTAACAACTCAGACTGGGTTTTTTTCGTCTAAACATATATTTCGGCCTCGTCATTCACTGAGCTGCTTCCGTAAGTTTGGCTCTCTGAGTGTTGTGCGGGAAAGTAGACGCACGGGCTTTTTTAGAGTGCAGATTGGAACATTTCTCACTCACGCAGACGAAATAATTGGTCCGTTATGGCGTTTTTATTTCAAAATCATGGATTGTAAAACGGCGCTAAAACGGCTTCGCACATGTATCTATGTGAAGTTTCGGACAGAATTAGCGCGAAGACGGCGTCGGTCATTTCCAGCATGGGGGATAAACGTGCCAAACGAACGAAGGACAGCTGGAAAACCATCAGAGGCGGCAAGAACTACGCAATAGCACTGAATCAGTATCACCTTGTGCATGCAGACGATCAAAATAAATCGAAGGCCACGTAATATAGTTCGATATTCAATAAATAAGTACTGCTTTATTCTTTCTGCCCGTGAAGATGTGCGAAGATACTTGTCTGCGCTGAAAACATCGTCCGCACGCTCGAAATCTTTGAAAATAGGGAGGGCCAGCGAACAGCGTGCCCGATAAAAGCTGCCCGGCATAAGAAATAACAAAAAGATAACCTTCCATGGCCCACATACGTTTTGAACGTTTTAACCGCTCGTTAATATGCACGACGGGGTCATTTTTATATAGTGACAGAACGGGCATATTAGCGATATATAAGCGCCACCGGCATGCTGGCGAACCTTGAACAAACTTCACGTTCCTTTCGATTGTTATTTTGCTTATACAATCGTCGCTCGTTTTTACACACCTCCTATAGAAGAGAGGTTTGGGCCTGAAATATAACAAAGTTTAACATCGTTCACTGCCCCACTGAGGTCTGCAAACTGGATTCCAGTTTTCCAGCAAGAAATTGAGTTAGATTTTCCTGTTCCATAATTCAATTTAAACTGTTTTTGTTGTTGTTCTTTCTTTGGGGAACAAAAATGCTGTAAGTAAAGAAATTACACTTTTACAACGTCAATAAAAGTACATACTATTCGGTACGACCAAAATAACAAAGTTATCTATGTTATTTTTCGGCGAATAGACAAAATGGACGCGCATTTTCCCATAGGAATGCACAGGAGCACCGCGAAGGTAGACTGCTTGCTGTCTGCTTCAATTTGCCTCCCAGAAGTCGCATAGACACTATATTTGAACCTCTAGAGTACATTACAATGACTCCATGGTTAAAACCATAGTCGTTATAGTAAAGTATAATTAGCTTACTTAGTTTATGAAACAACCAAGCAACCAAAAAGCATGCTGCTTTAGCTTCTTTTACGCGAATCAAATTGAACCTGATTAAGAAGATAAACTTACATGATTACAAGAGGTGCGCAGTCCGAACATCTTAATCACCAATGGCGAGTTTTAAAATACCGTACCCAAACACTTTGAGTTTGAGACGAAATAGCGTCGGTCGTCACGCGCCAATCTATAAAACGCGGTTTGTCCTCCGCGCAAGCCCCGTGGTGACGAAGTCATCACGCTACGCACCGAGAAAGTGAGGGAGAGGATGACACGAGAGGGACGTCAGAAGGCCGAGCTCTGGTTGCAAGGATTAGTGGGGAGACCTAAAGCTAGCTGCCTTCGTCCCCACTGCACTCGTCGAGCGCGTAAGAACACGGAACGCCGGCGCCTGGCGTTTGGCTTTCGCATTCGAACGCGTCCGGCGAGTGCAATGGAGACAAAGGCCAGCTAGCTTTACATCTACCCACTAATCGTTCCAACCAGAGCTCGGTGTACTGACGTCCCCGCGCGCTCTCATCTTCTCTCCGTCAGTTTCTCGGCGCATTGCTTTTGGCATTAGCGAGGTTTCGTCTGAACCTCGCTAATGCAAGGAACATGAATTCGTGACTAACCCTTCGTTCATAAATTGGCCGCTAAAAGATGCACGTTTTCTCGTCGGCTTCTCGCGTAAACACAAAGGAAGGCAAATACACGTGGACTACAGGGGGCGTGTTCGGAAATGCTTGTTGAGTAAGTGAACAGGCCAATTTCGGCACTTTGATTGGCGCGTTTTTATGGGCGTCATATCACCTAGATTTTGTGGGGAGTGGGGACAAGAGAGAAGGGGAGAGAGGAGGCTTAGGTTCCCGCTCCCCCTTCTCCCAGGAAATTGACACTCTATGCAACCTATGCGACCGCGAAAGGGAAACTATAGAACGGGAAATTTTAATGCGCACGGGGCTTTGTCCCACCCTCTGGCAGCCGGCTAAAGGCTAGCACTTGGATCACTGAGGCGTGCTTACCTCGAATCCATCATTTTATGTGAATCTGTAAAAGTACGGATGCCGGGAAGCAGACGAAAAAAAGCCAACAATTACTGGTTTGACAAGGTCTGGTCTCCCGTTAATGTCTGGCCTCGTTCTCCCCAATTCGCTTTGCCCCCCCCCCCCCCCCCCCCCTCGAAACTAGGCGATTTGACGTCCATAGAAACGTGCCGGTCAGAGTACCGACATGGGCCTGACGACTCAGTCCGCAAGCTATTCCAAGAATGCGGCCGGGGGTCCTATAGTACATGCACGGAGGCCCTCACCCAGGATTCCGGCAGCCCGGAGGAGCGTGCAGATGTCGGTGCCGCTGAAGAACTTGATTCCCCTAGAGAAGGTGGCCACGATCCAGGGCACTAGCTGAAAAGGCGTCTCGGGTATGAGGCACTCCGAGAAGCCCCAAGGGTCCTCGAGGATGACGTGAGCCAGGCGCTGCGGGTGGCGCAGCGCGTACGCTCCCGCCACGAAGGCTCCGAGGCTGTGGCCCAGGATCACGAACCGCTCCAGACCCACGCGCTGGCGCCAGGCCTCCAGCGCTGCGCAACGAGAACGACCGCCGGAGTTATAGCGAGACCCCGGCCGCAAAGGAAGGGTCCACGCCCGCCCTGTTCACGGGGCGCTCCCAATCACTTTTCCGTTCAGGGATCCTAGCGCACGACGAAGCCCCTAACACAATTAGAGTCACTGACAGCTTTAGAAATGCAGCGTGTTAAGGAAGAGATCCCGGGCACATCCGTTTCGATGGTGTCGGTTTATCGTTCTCCCTCGTGCCATTCATAATCTCGTGGTTCTGCGCTCCTCTACCTCCTTTTCCTCTCGTTACCTGCTACCAGATGGCATAATCTACAACAACTTCCCGCGCCGGCCTGGAGATGAGACCATGCATTCCCATACCGCGAGATGAGGAAGTTTAAGACAGTACAGAGCAGCGCAGAAAACACAAACTCATGAAAGGTCAATGGGGATACAAAAATACACAAAACAAGTTGAATAAACACTCTGCCGAATCCCCACACAGCTTGAGTAAAGTGATGGTAACGCAATGCTTGTAGCAAACAAGGGGTTCGATGTTCGTTCTGTGCCAATTCTTAGTTTGATATGTTGCCTTCAACAAGGAGAGGACCTTACATAGGGCGCCGAATTTCTTGTCCGCTTGCAAGGCGAACAGCGCACACTCTTGGTATGCCGTTTCTTCCAGGAAATGTTGCTGTTATTCTTCCAAGTTCCCATAGGAGCGGTGGCGTGTCGTTATTTACGATATCAATGTCTCCCGGTTGAATACGCGGAGACGTCGTTGTCTGACTCTTATGTGCGGAGTGGAGAACTTATGGGTATTCGTTTCTCCAGCATTGCCTTGCTTGTTTCCAGCTGCTGAGAGCCGGTCCACGTACGGCTGGTAGTGAGAGGACATCTGCCGCTTTTCTGCCGTAATCTGCTCCATCGCATCTTTGAACTTGTTGACTTTCTTCTGCATGCCCAACTTCTCTTGGTGGAGCTCCTCCAACTGGCTGTGCACATTCTCAGAGGCCTGAGCATTAAGCTGCGCCAAGAACAGATCCTTATTGACGTCGCCAAGCTCCTGCTGCACGGCTTCATTGTCCTTCGTCTTCTTGCCAAGCTTGTTGCTCAACTCAGAAAGGTCTTGCTTCAGTTCTTCGATTGATTTGCTTGATTTGTACTGTTCCGTATTGAGCCTCTCGTTTTTCCTGAGGTACTCTTGGAAACTCTTCTCCTGAACCTGGCTCTGGTTGCTGACAGAGTTCAGCTTTCCTCCAAGTCTGTGTTTCTCTCTCTAGCCGCCTCCAGTCTACCTTGCAGCTCTTCCGTCTCCACGGCCTTCTGCTTGGCGGTTTGCAGGCTCTGAGAGGGCGCCGACTGAAGCTCCGCCTTCTCGGCCACCAGGATACCGATGGTCTGGATGTGCACCTGGAGCTGGTCGTTGGTGGCTTGAGAGTGGGTTCCTTGGACCATCCAGCCAAATATGGTTTCTACGGCGGTGAGGTCGTCATTCATGCGCTGGATCCGTCCCGTGACAACTTGCCAGTAGAAGTCTGAGCCTATGAGAAGGCCGAAGTCGTTGTCCACTCTGCCTTGAGCCCCAGCAGGGATGATATCGGCGGCTTGAAGTCCGCTGGAATGAAGTTGCCTCAATAGATTGTCATCTAGCTGCTGGTGTGATACTGTACACAGGTCTGGGACCTCCAGTGCTTCAAGTGATACCATGATTAAAATAAGAACACCGACTTCACATAACAAAAAAAACAACTTCATTAAACGTTTCGCCTCCCATGCGGGAGGCATCATCAGTACAGACACAGGAATGAGAGAGCTTCGGTCAACGCAGTCCTATTTATCGGGAAGGTCCAAATAAGCTTCCGGGAGGGGACCACGGTTCTTGTTGCACGCCGTCTTATCTCCGCGGATGAACCATGACTCAAGTAGTTTGCGTGGGCCCCACCTATCCTCCTTCGCCAAGGTCGTCGCGGCTGTGAAGTCAAAGTTAATGATCGCGTACATTTTTTCGTCGTAGTCGGTCTTGTCGAGGATCACCGTTCCGCCACCTTTATCGGCAGGCACAATGATGATTGATTCATCCGATCTCAGTTCCTGTAGCGCCTTACGTTCATGATGGGCAAGGTTAGGCTGAGGTGGCTTGGCATTGTTCAAAATCGAGAGCACGCGACTACGGGCAAGGTTCACGCCAGTCACGTTGTTTATATGTCGGAGTTTTTCTTCGATTTCGACTATGAAGTCACGCTTGGGAACGTAGTGGGGGGCCATAGCAGAGTTAAGGCCCTTGGCCAAGAGACTCACGTGGTGGTCCGACAAAATGTCCGACAAAACGAAAAAATGTACGCGATCATTAACGATACCGACCACTTTGTTAAATTGCCCCGCGACCCAACTGCAAAAACTGAGCGATCGCTAGCTGATCATCTCAAAGCACTCCGTAAGAAAGGTAGCCTTAGTGACCAGTTGTACCGTCGCCTTTTTTCCTCCGATGGTAGCACGCCTAAACTTTACGGTCTCCCAAAGGTACATAAGCCGGAATGCCCCCTTCGTCCCATTGTATCTTTTATTGGCTCCCCCACGTACGATTTGTCGAAGTATCTGGTAGAATTGCTAACACCCCTGACAGGGAACAATAACTTTGGTGTAAAAAATTCCCAAGAGTTTGTACAATTGATTCGCGCTCAAACTCTTCTTCCACACGAAAGCATGATTTCGTTTGACGTTGTTTCCCTTTTCACAAATGTTCCCAACGATCTTGCAGTTGATGTCGCCCGACAACGCTTACTTGATGACCGAACGCTCTGTACTCGCACGTCTCTGTATGTAGATGATATCATTGTGCTTTTGCGTTTTTGTCTGAACCAATGTTTCTTTGCCTTCCGTGGAGAGGTGTACCATCAAGTGAATGGCTGTCCAATGGGAAGCCCTGTCTCTGTCACTGCCGCTAACCTTGTAATGGAGTATACCGAAGAGAAAGTGTTCGGTGAGATTGTATTTCCTGTCAAGTTTTATCGTAGGTATGTTGATGACACTTTCGTTATCCTAGACAAGAATTTTGTTGATGATTTTCACCAATGCTTAAACAGCGTCCACCCCGCGATTAAGTTTACCTACGAGCCTGAACAAAATAACATGTTGTCCTTCTTAGATGTGTGTGTGATAAGAACTGACGAGCCGAACAACAGGATGGAAACCAAGGTTTATCGTAAACCATGTGACAGTGGTAATTTTCTAGATTTTCTTTCGCACCACCCTGTACAGCATAAGAAGTCTGTTGTACGAACTTTTGTTCACAGGTCAAACACTGTGCCCTCTAACGCGACCTATTGCGCTAATGAGCTCGCACGTGTACAAGAGTCTCTGCAAAAGCGAAACTACCCCGGACGCTTTGTAGATGAGGTAATCAACCAGACGAAACGAAAAACGCACTCCAATCCAGCCGACAAAGAACGTAATGTCTTGTGCATTCCGTACGTTAAGGGAGTGTCTGAGTCGCTAAGCCGCGCCCTAAAACCTGTAGGTATTCGAACTGTGTATAAACCGTACCGAACTATAGCAAGCATTGTGTCTAAGCCAAAGGACCCCACCCCTGCGGATACGGAGAAAGGCATTGTGTACAAGATCCCCTGCCAGGACTGCGGCTCTTCGTACATTGGAGAGACCGGACGCAAGAAGATAACCAGGATGAAAGAACACCAACGTGACGTCAAGTATTCCACGAACGCCACCCGTCTCAAGACGGAGCTGGTCGACCACGCGTGGACCACAGGACACACCTTTGACTTCACAGTCCAACGTGACGACGACCAACGTGACGACCAACGTGACGACGACCTTGGCGAAGGAGGATAGGTGGGGCCCACGCAAACTACTTGAGTCATGGTTCATCCGCGGAGATAAGACGGCGTGCAACAGGAACCGTGGTCCCCTCCCGGAAGCTTATTTGGACCTTCCCGATAAATAGGACTGAGTTGACCGAAGCTCTCTCATTCCTGTGTATGTACTGATGATGCCTCCCGCATGGGAGGCGAAACGTTTAATAAAGTTGTTTTTCTTGTTATGTGAAGTCGGTGTTCTTATTTTAATCATGACATCTCCCGGCTTTTGGACTATTTTTGCATTCAAGTGATATCTTCTGGTTGCTTTGATGGCTATGTACGGCGACAACCACTCGTCGACAGGACCGTTTGGTGGCTGTGTTTCCAAATGTGTATATAGTAAGCTCCTCCTGGCCAACGACTTCACAGCCCAGTTTTTCAGAAATGTCCTGCCGGATAAACGTGCGCTGACTCCCACTGTCCAGTAACAGCCTCAGTAGGAGGCGTCTCGGTGTCCCTAGGGCCCACGTTCTAGCAGTTTGCAGCAATACAGCAGAAGAGCGGAAATTGGTGGTTGGGGCGCTCACGACTGTTGCGCTATTTTCACGAAGTCCTCCTGGGTCTGGGTTTTTTGATGCGGCTGATGTGGGACGTGATAGATCGCAGAGTATAGTCACATGGTGACCTCTACAAGTGGCGCATGTCAAGTTCCTGCACGAACGGCAAACACGAGCAATGTGATTTCGCTTGCCGCATTTGAAGCAGCAGCGTGCTCGCGCAAGCTTGGTTCTTTTTTCTTGTGTTGAAAGTCTAGCCTGACAGTTTTGCACGTCGTGCTGGGTGGCATCACACAAAGGGCACGTGGCCGCTCGGTAGCCAATAGCCTCAGTTGAGAGCGCGAGTGCTGAAGGGCGGCTCGCCTGTACAGATTCTTGACGTGGTATCGGCGATGACCCATACCGGGGAGAGTGACTTGGGTGTTCCATTTGGACATCTTCTCGAACCTCCACTTGAGCCTGTAGAAATAGCATGATGACACGGACCTGCTCTTCCGGGCGCATGTCAAGTGTGTCGGCTGAGGGTGTCAGTGCTGCCTCCCTTAACTTCTGCCGGTATAGTATAGCCAGGTCAGCAGGAAGGCACCGCATGAGGACACGATGTAGGACGACAGCGTAGTTGCTAGGCGGGACATCCAGCCCTTGAAG